CCCTACCATCAACTGTTAGTCTGTCAGAAACCCAGCACTTTCATGTGATATTTTAATCAGTTAAATCTGCAACTGAGTTCCAGACTACAAATTTGCAGCCAAAGGCAACAACTATATCATGGCTGTAAATCAACATTATTTATTTATTTATTTTTGTATTATAACATTGTTAGTATTATTATTATTATAAGGGAAAGCACTACAGAGCCAAAATCAGCATGTCCAATTAGCAGGAGGGACTGCACATTAAGTTTAAAGAACCCTTTTGCACTATCTGATTCTAATAGCAGAAATAATGGAGCCTAATCTGACCCATCATTTCTGAGCTATAGGGAAAACAAATTGCTGTTGACGGGGGAAAAGTTTGGACCAGCATGCAGCCTGTCCTCTCCTGACATCCTACTCAGCAAATTCCTCACAGATTTCCTCCCAATGTCAGTACAACTAACATAAAGGTTATTTCATAAAATTTTGTGTGGATTGCTAACTTGTGAAAACCAAAGGACCCGTGCCCAAAACAACAATACAGACTCAAGTAAATAATCATAGCATTTTTCCCTTATGCTTAAAGCTTCACAGACAAATGCAGCAGAAGAGAGACTGAAGTTTCCCTGCCAAGTACCAATACTGTGAGCACATATTGAAATGAGTAGCCAATAAATGTCGAAATCAAGGTGACTGATCACATAAAAACTTCTTGTTTGACTGGCGACTGTTCGGAAAGGTTTCTAGTTTAATGTGCAGTATGATGAAGGGTGGAAAAAAAACCAGCAGAATTAAATATTAAATGCTGAAGTCATTATAAATCATACCAGCTATTTCTTTAGCAGATCGGGAATTCTGTAAGACACAGAGGTGTGGTCAGGGTGGATAGGAGGAGGACATTTGTTACCAGCATTAGACTAGCAGTGTCCCACAAATCAATTTTGGAACCTTGATGAAAAAACAGATAGGCAAAGTTTTGAAGGTTTGGTATTTGCATACCAAAATGTCATGCAACTGGTCAGAAAGTTTTGTTGTTTATCATGATGCTATCAGACATGTGGATGAATATCCAAAATGATAATACCAAGGTCTCATTCCCAACATACAGTGTTTCAGCCAAGATCACTGGTATGTTCTGGCTACTTCACACTGCTCCAATTAAAACTCAGTCAGTCTTACAGCTGCTTTGTATTCCTAGAGCAGTGCAGAACAGCTGGATCGTGCCATTGACTTTGGCCCTCAAACTCCTTGGAAATTACTATGTCAATATCAAAACTTTGGCCCTTTCTGTCATTATTTAGGCTTGAGTTGACCTGCATTTCTGGCTTCAGCAAGCAACACCTTCTCATTTGGGTAACATGTTGGAAATGTATCAACATTATAACTGAAGACAGAGTAGGTGTCAGCGTTGCACTGATTTTGGCAGGCTTTTACACAAAGAAAGGCTGTTAAGGGTAATGTCCCTGAGAGTAACAGGCTGTCTGCCACACTTACTGTGATGTAAGACTTGATGCAAAATAAACCTACAAGTGCTAAAGAAATTAAAAAAAACCTCAAAGGCTTGATTTCCTTTAGTGACAGCCATAGTCTAATTAGCTGGTTGACGCAAAGCTCCAGATCAGTTGGTTAAGGTATTCTGCTGCTGTATTAATGAATTAAAAAAATAAATTTGACATCTGTCCTTGTGGTCCTGCATTACCTATAACAATTTACACGAAGTTAAAATGTAAGACTACTCAGTCTTTAAATGGCTTCATGGCCTGCTATCTCTGCTTCCACAGGGACTGGTGGATCAAAGTGGCTGTCTTAAGTTATGATTTGACAGGGTGACACACCAGCTTTCATGAAGTCTAACATACCCAAGTGCATCTGTTTGATTATGCTGTGCTTGAGGTAGATACTGTGTCTCAACTAGTCATGAGTTAAATTTAAATTTAGTTGTGCACCTTCAGGTTGAGTCATCTTTCTACCGAGAGATCACTAACACAACATGTTACTAAGCAGTGTAATGTAATAATCTGTTTTCCACTGGAAAACATGTGTAAGACACACTTACAATATTTATTCTTAAAACATGTAGGATATTCTAGAGTCACGAGGCCATTCACGGTAAGCCATGAAAAATAAGCCATGGTTAAGAGATGAAAGTGGCTGGAGGCTGTGGCCCACAGGGACTCAGAAGGAAATACTCAGAAAACACAGACAGCTTGAATCCCAAGTGCTCTCTCCTGAGAGGAAGCATGGTTGAAAAGTTTAAAATCCATTAAAGTTAAACAAATTGAAAAGCCCTATCTGAGAGGAAACATAGTACAATGTTTATTTTTCCATTACAAACCTGAGACCTAAAAGATTTCCTGAGGTTCTCAGGTATTGTTCAGGGTTATAATGGAGATCTGTTTTTAGAAAGTGTAATTCATGTGTTTAATCCAAACTATTTGATGAAAAACACACTGCTTAAGCATTCAGGAAGTTAAAGGCCATTGTATACCTGTATCACACATTGTTTGGATAGGAGCTGACCTACAATGCAAGGAATCTCATCATGAAACTCTCTCACTCAAAAACATTGGGTCTAATTCACTCCTCATTCATGCTGCTGGCTGAATTCCACTGAATTAATGAAGTTAAGACATGAGTAACCAATGATAATAAAAAGCCAATCTTCCTGCTGAGTGTGAAACTACCAAAATGCAAGGCTAATTTGAGTAAGAGATTTATAATACTGGCCTACTTCAAGTAAGTAGCAAGCCCTAGCAGGCCCAGCCTAACATTAGCCAAGCAGATTAGTCAATGTATCTTAGGGTTTACTCCACCACCTCTATCTGCTACACTGAGATCCTTATCAGCAAAATGTGTGATGTTGAGAAGCATCTGTTTGAATAATGAACAAGCTGCAAACTAAATCCAGAGGTGAATTTAAGTGAAAAGAAAGATTTGGAAGCAGAGGAATATTCCTCATTAGATTTATTGATACAGAAACTGGGCAAGTTTAAGACATACAGACCCTTCTTCAGCTTTCTTCTATTTGCTTTGCTCATGCAACTAAAACAAGATATATCTCTGTACAAATCTTACTTTTCCAGTATTCTTAGGCTATCTTGGGTAAACGGGGCTTAAGTAAAAACGGAGGTAGCGGGAGATACAACCATACACATAATTAAGTTGAAGTTAGGCAACATAAATTTCTGGTGGTTTCCCTTGACTGCTATACAAGCAATTTCAAGTAAGATGAATTTTTAAGAGATTAACATAATTTAAATTTGCACTGCCTTACATTTTACCTCTAAGTTTGACACTGAACCAAACTGAAATTCATTCTTGCCTTTTTATTTCATATGGCAGATGTATCCTGATTCCAAATAGCAAACAAGGCCACCTACATTTAAGCATGGACAATCATTACAAAGACCTACTTCAACACAGGAAGGCCACATAATAGAAATATGGGTCCATATATAAGCATGTCTGAGTATGTTTTGTACATCTTTTTAATACTGATAAGTAATGAAATACACACGGTTGAATCCATCCTGTCTTCTGCCATTGTTGGCTAGTGACAGAGAATGAAACTTTACAGGATAAATGGGATTTTAAGGGGTGTCAATCTCCCCAGCCAAGTCTGCAGGGTCAAGGGAGAAAAGGGAGAGACAGTTATAGAAGGAGAAAACAGACAGGCAGATTAAGCTAATTTTAGCTGAATGTGTTGATGGTTGATATATCAAAAAGGGATGACAGATAAGAAAGAAGAGAACTGTGAAAAAAATCTGAAGACAAGGGCAAGTTGTTTAACTTGATATTGCTGAGCAGCATCCAGCAGAGGAAATCATCTTTGATGAAGATGATTCACGGAAAGGATGATTTTAGCAGCTGTGTTTTGTGTGACACCAAAGCTACGTTACTTGTAAACTAAATGGTCCCAGAGCCCCATTCTGTCCATGAGGTCAAATAGCACAACCTGGCCATGCTCGCACTACTGAGCTCTTCTGTTCCAGAACAGGGGGGCTGCATCTGCACTGTCTTTTGGACTGGTCCCTGGTGTGGGATGAGAACTGGCTGTGAGAGTGGTAGTTCTTCTGGACCAGAAGTGTGCCAAGGAGCTGCAAATAATACTATAGTTTGATAATAGTCAAGTGTCAGAGCTCAGGAATATTTGCTTCACCAATGTCCTAGGATAGACATAGCCTAAGCATACAGTGTAGGTGCTTTAAGAGAACAGAGACATGAATGTTCAATAACCAAGACCTAACATTTTGCAGAAACAGTGAATATTCTGGAAGGAAGGACTGCTTTGATCGTGGCCATTTACCTCTTACTGTTTTCATGCCTTCTTGTGCTTCTTATTCAAACTTCTTTTCAGCTTTCCTTCATCGCACTCACAGCCTAATAATCTCTTGCAGTATTTATCCTAAAATGCAGTTTACCACTTGATTTAGTCTACATTCCCAAGTTTTCTTAGTTACCTGGAACAAAACCAATGCTTCACTGAGGGGAGCTATAGAGTGACCATTGCTTATCATGCATTGTCACTCCACTCTCTCATAAAGACTTTATGCTTAAGGAACATACTTTTTGAGAATTTAAATTGCATTTCTGCCTTTCAGGTAAACCTTGTGTTAAAATAGGGCCTACTTCAGCAAGCTGTTTTGTTCAGTAGTAGATAATTGCAAATAATCAAAACGTTGACTTTTGGGAAGGTCACCCTGGAAAATGTTTGTTATTATTTTCCTGCATCACTTTAGGCTCCATACATTGTAGCTCATATCAGTGTCCTGGCATGCTGACAAGCAGGGTTACTCTTACTTTAGGACTCCATTAAATTTATAATCAATGCTCTGGATTCACTGTCTACCACACACAAAGTTATTGAAAAATTTGAGCTTTGTGCCCCCTTCCTTTGAGCACGACAGTATATTTCTGTATTTAGAAGACTGTTGTTCTGCCAAAAGGCAGTATTTCTGCTGTGGCTTTTTGTAAATAGTTTTGTTTATAAAATGCACCTTTATGTTTCTTTCTAGGTAGGGATGAGATCCCGAAACCAAGGCGGAGAAAGCTCGTCTAACGGGCACTTCTCCAATTCCAAGCCTGTCATCAGCCATGCAGAGAATGAAAAACTCCAGGATGATGCCAAGAAAAAGAACAAACCTCATCGGAAGGAAGATGAGGTCATGGTTTCAGCAACTGTCAAACGGCACTCAAGATCACCTGGGCCTAGTGAACGAAAGAACAAGAAGTCCATAGAGCTCTCTAAAGAGGACTTGATCAAACTCCTCAGTATAATGGAAGGAGAACTGCAGGTAAATTAAACAACATTTTAAATGTATTTTCTATTTATCTATATATTCTTAGGCTGTCCAAGAATCATGGGGCTCAAGAGACAGTGACATGCAAATGTAAGGCAAAGGACCATAAGGAGAGTGCTAGTTGGTTTCTAACAGGATAGTCACAGTTTTAAGTACTGCTTAATTTACCATGTCTATCTGCAGCTACCGTAGCAAGTGATATTGCAAACACCTGTCAGAACTGATGAAGAAAGGGGAGTCTGATGGTCTTCAATGCTTAAAAAGAGGCACAAAACAACCACAGGAGAATCAGGTCAGAAAAAGACAACAAATACAGTGAGTGCAATTACAGTCTTAAATACAAATATTCCAGGGAGAAATCCAGAAGTCACTAATACTGGAAGAGGTCTTAAGATAGCCCAGGACCTTATGCATACTCAGGGGGTTGCTCAGGTCTCAGCCACAGCTTTGCCTGTCCCACCTGACCTCCAGCACTATCTGCACATCCCCTTCCTTGCAAAGGTCCATTGGTTTTCTTTCCTGGAGCAGTGCTCACTTGGAAGTTTAGTCAGTTGTCCAGATTTGCATATTTATTCAACCCAGTAATAAGTCTGCTATGGCAGACAGCTTAGGTTTGTGTTTAACTCACATCCCCCTAATTTCCATCCAGTTTCAAGGGTTCTCTTTAACAATAATAAATCACTGAACTCTCAGGAGTCTCAGCCATTAGGGAAAATGCAATTTCAAAATGAAAAGCTGAAACACAGTATTTGAAAAAGTCAGTGTGAAGACTTCTGACTTTTTGTAACTTATCCCCATTTGCATTAGGACTGCTTGCCAAATTTATACATTCTTTTGTTTCCACTCTAATGCTATTTTTCAGTGAATCTGTTGTGAAGCAGAAAAAACTTGCCCAACCTGTGTGAAAACATGCTATATTGTGATGTCTTAATTCTACGTAATCATTATTTAGCATTTCACATCAGGCTTTACTTTTTCCCTGAAATTTGCATTCATTTTTATCATTTTATCTGATTAAGGGAAGCAATTGTTTTAGAAGTGATCCATTAATTTATTTGGTACATGAGTCATCTGAGTTATACCATTACTGCAACTCTGTGATTTCATCTCACTTCAGGTTGTCAGAAAGCACTTTCAAGTTTCAGGAAATATGCATTTAAAGTAAATAGTTGTGTCACAAAGACCAAGAACAGTCATTTGGCAGTGAAAAACTGGGGAAAAAGGCAAAAAAAAAATCTGCTGAATGCAATTTTGCTATGAAAAAAATTGTATCATTATAGAACAGTAGTCATAGTCATAGCACTTCCTTTTACTTTATACAAAAACTAGTACGTGTTAATTCCTAAAATATGGAGCTAGCATGCAGCTCTGGGGGTGAATAGAGCCAAATCTGATTATAAACATATTGTTCTCATGTAGTTCAGAAAGATTTACCCTGAAGTCACCTTTGTGGTCTTTAAAGGGGATGTGAAGAAAGTCACTAATACTTCATGGGTGACATTAAATGTGGTCTTTATTCTTATCTCTGAGTAACTCTCTTGGTCAACACATGGAGCTGTGGCTCTTTGTCCTTGTCCTCCACTTCATAGCCAAGTTACACAACCTTTAAAGGGCTGCCCACATTCTCATTATCCCCATGAGGAAGATGGGGATAACTGCCATCTTCTGTTAGTATGGATTGAAAATCCTCACCAAGGTTATACATGTATTGTCCCACACAATACTTTTAGGGATATTCCTGCGTAGAAGCCCCACAGAGATGTTAGGCCACACTAAGGCATCCCAGCGTCACAGGAGGCTTCTGAGGACAAACACACTGACAGCTGTAAAGTGCATCTCTTCTTCTGCTCCCTCCAGACAGGGACAAGAATCATTTATATTTTTAAGCCATCGGAGTTTTAAATTTCATTTCAAAACCCCCTGTTTGAGGCAGTTATTTACCTGGTACCTGTGTTGAACCGTTACTGAAGTGGGCAAGCTACAGCTCTTTGGCCTGAGATGAGAGCCTGGCTTTGACACTGCAAACGAGGATGAGCCAAGGCAGACTCCAGCCAAGTAAATACTCTGGTATTACCTCCTGGCTGTCACAGTGACCTAATACACTGAGTCATTTTGTGGCTTTTCATTTACAGATCTGTACAGACATTGCTAGTGACTGGCTGGCATTTTGTTGGACCGGCAAATCAGACTGTGGGTTTATTTTGAAGCCACTTCAATATTGGCAAAGCAAACAGTGTATAGGCACATGTAAGGAGATTTTTGTTTTGAGAATAACAGTGGGCCATACCTATAGGGTCATCCAATAATTTCTGAAGAAAAAAGTGCAGTAAAATACACTGACTATTTACTCAGCAGCCATCAGCAGAGGCCTTACATCTGTACTACTGAACAGTGTGCAGGGTGACACTGCCTTGCACTCTCCAAACAAAGAGCCCAGTTGGGGATGCCATGGTCATGGCAACCATGGGCTTCAGCAGATTAAATTAAAAACTCTACATATGCTTCATGTGCTTAGTTCACTATTTTCACCTGACATCGTAGCAAACACAGTCACAAGCCATGTTGCTCCAGGTATCAGTTCTGAGTCCTTACTTTGGATCTCCCAGCTGTAATTTTGAAAGGTGAAAGTGCCAGTAAACTATGAAGACATGCCCCAGCAGTGATGTTTATGTCTTCTTCTTCTTCTTCTTCTTCTTCTTCTTCTTCTTCTTCTTTTTTTTTTTTCTTTTTTTTTCTTTTTCTTTTTTACTCTTTATTATAATGACCTCAGGTAGCTTGCTTTCGTTTTAGCTTCCAGTGCCAAGTTGGACTTGGCTTTGCCTGTCGTCAAGTTTCTTGGCTGGGCCCTGTGCTCTTACTGCATGTAGAGAAGAGAAAGTTTTCATCAACTTCTGAGGTCACTGGAGCTTAGGCCTTATTTTGTAAGAAAACAAAAGGGGAGAAAAAGTATACAGAAGCTGCAGTGATGAAAATGTGTCCCAGTATACATCGCAGGAGAGCTCTTAAGTGCAACCTCTTTGGAGGAGAGTGAGAAGAAAATGGACTGATGACAGGAATTGATTTGAAAGGCCTTGTAGCTCAGTAGAGGGTCTTTTTTCTTGAGGGCTCCCACTGGTCATATAATAAACCAGTGATTACATGGTCTCTAACATGCATTGGATACACAGAGATAAAAGATCCATGAAGGTGTTTTCTCCATATGCATGGGAAAAAATAATCTGATAATGCCATTGGAATAAATTGGACTATGAATCACAGTGTTAATTTGTCTGTTTGTTGCAGTGGTTTCAGTCAAACCAATGTGTAAATATTACTAATTACAAAGCAGCACAGGCAGCATGAATCTCTACAATGACTACATAATCCTATCTGTGGTAAACAGATTTTTGTCCAACAGCCCATATATTTGGCCTGTATGCTTTTTGAGCAGTGACTGTTTTTCTCCAGCCATATCAGCACTGATTTTCAACATTTCCTGATTAGGGGTCTGAGAGGAAATGGGGGGCAGTATTCATACATGTTTACCATGCACTCTTTTATTGCATGTTCAGGGGAAAAAAAAAAAAAATTGTTTAAAAACTACAAATTATTGAATTTTTTAAGAAAAATCATTCCTTTGTTAGGTTCTATGCCTGTTGCCAGACAGATGAAACTTTAAGTTTGGGAGGCAGTTTTCTGTATTTCACACCAATTAAACCAGGACCAACTTTTGCACTCAAGGCCTTTGTTATAGTCTGTGCTTTGCAGCATTTCTCCAGTGCAGAAACGGCATCACCCCCTGCAGCTCAGCCACCCGTTCTGTTGCCTCACCCAGTGAGGTTCCTTGCACTTTTTAGGACAGATGGACAGGCTTCCAGCTTCTATTTGACAGAACCAGGTAGAGCTTGCCTTCAGGCTGTTTCCAGACGTTCTCCTTGACCTGGGCATTTCAGGGGAGGGTTTGCAGAGTTGGGTGACGACACTGTTGTGTTTTCTCTGGGAAATACTTAGGTACAAGCAGCTGTACATCCTGCTGCGAGGGAAATCCTCTCTCATAACAAACTCAAATAGCCGATTCCCACATGGGTAGTATAGTAGCTAGAGCATGTTAACGTTTTAAAAGACAATTTAGCACTTTACCACCTGCCTTTCTATCAGAAGACTAAGCTTTGTAAATGTAAAGGGTGAAAGGAAAATTATTTCCTGTTTCCATTTTCTGCTTTCTTCCCTTTTTATATATGTACATATTTTATTAAAACATTTTATTCTATTTTTATTCTATTTTATTCTATGATAACTATGAAATAAAATAACTTTATGAAACTGTGCTATACAGCAATCATGTTTTAAATAGCTTACCTCTCTCTACTGTTTAATGCCCAATGTGTTTGTAGATGGCAGTCACACACCTCCTGAGTCTTTACTTCACTGTGCTAGCTGTGCCACCTTCATTTTCTATAGCAGAAGAGGCTTCCCACTCTTTCAATCATCACTTGATCAGCACCAGTTGCATACTAGCTTTGTCTTTCCTAAATGTCTGCAGCTAGAACTGTACATAGTGTCTCAAACATTGGTTTTAATATTTCATTTTCTATGCTGAAATGGCTTTACTTGGCCCTTCCATCCCTTGATAAAATGATTGATATATGAAATGGTTTGACTTAGTTGCTGTAGGTGTATTATTTTCTCTCCTTCTTTTTCTCCTTCTTCCTCTTGCTGCACTGTGTTAACTTTCATGCAATGCCTTAAACTGCTTTTGTTTATTGAACTGCTTTGTCAAGGAAACCTGAGTTTCCTAAGAAGCTGAAACACCACTGTGACAGACATCTCAATATTACTTAGTTAAAAACACCATACAAATTCCTATATTTTTTCTTCAGTGCCTTTCTTGATACTCTTGAATAAATACAATTGAATATTGAGTTCCACAAAAGCTCAAGATCTGGAAATACTTTAGATAGGTGGGTGGAAACCAGAAGTGTTTCTTTTGGGTAATGTTACAGTTGCAAAAGAAA